CATACATACATACATACATACATACATACATACATACATATACATACATACATTATAACATACATACTTATATGTACGGTTGGGTCAAATTTGTGTGGTGGTTGAAAAATACAGGGGGAGTTTTCATGGCCCAAAATGGTGATTTCAGACCACATTGGTAATGTAATTCAACAGGCAAATTACAGTAACATTTTTAGCAAATTTCTTTGAAAAAATATCGTAGGCATAGGGCCAAGCTAGGTATACAGTATTTTCATTTTACAGTAGTTTGGAACGATATCGGAAGTGGGGGTGCTGGCAGTGGCCTGCTAAGGACTACAACTTATTTGAAAATATCTTGGGTCCGATCGTCCACACCAGTTGGGCCCAATCGTCTGTCACCCGAAGTTTTCATTACGATGATCAAAAGCGTACACGATCTAGGCCCTAGGCTAGGCTTAGCTTTCTGCCGTCACTCTGCTACGTATACTACAATACTACCGCATAACAAAGAAAGCGACCCACGTGGTGCATTCTTAAATATTACACACATTATTTCATTGTATTAGACGATAACACGATATCATTGATTGAACGATCTAACCACCCTCACATCGCAGTAATACTGAACTAGGCCTAGCTTAGGCCTCATGTTTTTGTGGTGTTTTTGTCGTTATGTACCCGACAGTCGGCTGCCTTTATATTTTCACCTGTTTTCAGTTTGCATTCAAAGGGTACATTGCTGCACAGCCAACTGTCGGGGATATAGTACCTTCATATGACTACTCATACGTATACAACAGAAAAAAACGTCGCATGAACTTAGTGAAAAATGGAGATCTAAATGAAACCAGAGCCTTGCAGGCGTCAACGTACCTATGCATGATACATGACTTAAAAAGTATATAGGCCATATATAAATATATATATACACGTGTATATATATACGTACATATATACACGTATATATACACGTATACACGTATATATATACACGTATATATATATATATGTATATATGCGCGCGTGTGCATATATACGCGTGTACATACATACGCATGTGTATATATACGCATGTATATTATACGTATATATATATATATACGTATATATATTATGTATATATACGTGTATATATATATATATATATGTACAGCATA